CATTTGCCAGGGCCCTGAATTGCCTTTTCAGAAACAAAACTGATTTTTTTTAGGCTTTGTGTTCTTAAGGCCACCAGCTTTCCAAGAAATTTTAAATCCAGTAAAATTCACCCAAATCCTATAATCGCCCACAGAAACAAAGGCTGGACTGATTATTTTTGCTAAAAAGTTGGCAGCTTTCCAGCTTGATGAAATGCAGCTTTGCTGAAAGAAAAGTCTCCTGTGGGCAAACCCATGTATCCGTGGTTTTTGAAAACAAATAAAAACAAGGCATTTAAGAAAAAAAAAAAAAAAGGTCTTTAAAAATAACCTTGAGGCTATCTTTAGCCCCAAGGCTGTAAGAGGAAGGTTCACGCTTATTTTTCATCTGTTTCCACCCACCCCAGCTAAACGAAAAAGGGGCAGGCAGAGTATTTTTAGGTTCCTGTTCCTGCTGCAGATGCAAGGAAAGCCACTTTTCCCAAGGCTGGGTGGAGCTCTGCCTGTTGGGACAGCTATGGGAACCCCTGCCTGCCCCAGCTCCAGGGAAATAGCGCTTGGAGAGGGTTTTGGGGGACCAGGAGCTGATATGTGTGTGGCCAAACGGGGGTTGGGGCTAGCTCAGACTAATCATTTCAGGGCAGTTGCCAGGGGCTTTCTCCCAGGGAGGTCTGCAAAAGATTAACCGGGCGCTGCTGCGGCACCTCATCACCACTCAGAAAAAAGCCTTTGATGCTCTCCGCGCAGCTCGTTTCGGAGTGGTGGGAGTGGGGTGAAGAGCAGTGGCCAGCCCTGTGCCACCCATGGCAAGTTGGCCACAGGAAAGGGGCTTACACCCTCCTCACCCGAGCTGCTCCTCTGCTCTGGAGTGCATGGATGGGCAGGGAGACATCTCACTCCCTGATGCCCTTACTCTTTTCCAAACCTTTCCCAGACCTTTAAGGATCTCTTAGAAGTGCAAGGACCAGAACTGCACGAAGCCCTCAAGATGTGAGCGCACAGCAGCTTTAGAGAGGCACGAGGGTGTTCTCAATTTTACTCCTTTTCTAACCACCCCCAATATAGGGTTTGCTTCTACTGCTGCCAAATGTGGAAATATTTTGGTGAGAATGGCTACCATAGCTCCAAGCTCTTGAGCCCAAGTGGCAGGGGCGAGCTCAGAGCATGTCACTTGAAAGGTGAAGTGCAACCTGGCTTTCACCTAATGCATCCTCTGGTACATACCTACAATGACTTTCATCTGTCATTTGCACTGTCCACTTTCAGTTTCAGAAGAGATTGTTGCAGTTCCCCAGTCAACCTTCTCCTTTAGCATCCCAAATAACTGTTCATCATCAAACTACTCCTTGGTTTTTAACAGCTATGTTATCCAGCCCAGGTCTAATGGCACTTGCCACGAGCAACCTCCCTTCCTGAAGAGAAACACTCCCTCTATTTCCCAGCTTTAATCACCTATGGGAGGACAGTGCCTTTTATGCCATAGCTCTTGAGCTTCTTTAGAAGCCAGTGGCAGTATGAAACCGTTCACCCTTACCTACATGCTTTTTGAGGCCTTCAGAGAACTCGGGGAGGGTTGCAAGGCATGACAGCCCCCTACAGAAGTCATTTAGCCACCACAACATCAGGTACAGACACCAAGAAACCCCCCAAAATCTTTATTTAATGTCCTGTGGAAAGGCAGTGCAGCTGCCCTGGTCCAGGAACCGAGTGCAAGGCCCTTGCTTGGGAGGATGCAAAACCTTCCAGGGCTCCCTGTGCATTAACTGCTGTGCAGCCTTGCACCAACTACTCACCTTGCCTGGACCCCTTAATCCACACACCGGTGGATTTAATGCTGCTGTATTAAAGGAGGCAGCTTAGGGAGAGGCTGCTGGGAAGTTACTAGCTGGGCTCACGGGAGGCAGAGCTTACAAAATAGAAGTTTAATGAACAGCGTGCTGAGCAGAGGAGTTTAGGTCATACATAGAAATCTGCATCACGCAAGTCTTTGCCTCCAAGGCTGATGAAGGCATGATCAGTGGAAGCAGCTACACCCAGGAGCAGCCCGGCAAGGGACCAGGGTCACTGCAGAACAGCTGCTTTAGATGATTTAGAGTTAGTGGAGGAGTGGTGGAATTCGCCAATTTATTTGAAAATAAAGCAATGACAGAATGACAAGAGGAAGTGCATTACACTGGTTTTGTTCCTTGTTAAATGTAAACAATAGCACGTTATTTCAGAAGAATTTACCTTTGTAATAGTATTGCAAGGTATTCAGCATCTGAAAGCACGTGCCATGTAGAAACACTTTCCAGACACCAGTGATGCACCATCAACACAGGAAATAAAGGCAGTAGTGCCAAAATTCAGTCAAACCCCTTTTAGGCTTCCTAGTACTAACAGAGAAGTGAAGCCACATGAGAAAGCACTGATCCAGGATAAACTCACTCTATCAGTTCAAAGAGGTTTGGTTTTTTTGGGGTTTTTTTGTTTGTTTGTTTTTGTTTTTTTTTTTTCTTCCTCCTTAAACAGGCTTCCTTTGAAACAGCAGGCTTTACCCCAGATCAGGTATCCTCTCGTCTGTACATCTAACCTCCTGCCAGAGCGGCTAAAGACCACCCCCCCACCG